ATGCTGTAAAATGAGGATGCTGTCAAAATGATGTCATAAATAGATTTTCTTTATCAATTAACTTCTATTAACTAAATTAAATCAACATTTGGTGTGACCATCCTTTGCGTTTAAAGCAGCTTTTGCCCTAGGTGCACTTGCGCATAGATTTTCAGGTAACTTTGCAGGTAGGTTTCTTGAAGCATCTTGGAGAAGTTGCCACAGGTCTTCTGGATTTAGTCTGTCTTAGTTTGTTCTGTTTCTTCATGTTAGTATATTAAAAGCATATTAAAATATTATAGAAATTTAACATAGGATGTACTTAAAAATGTATAATACAATATATTAATAAATAAATAAATATATGTACATATATAATAATAATAATTTTCAAAAAATAATTAATGCCTAGCATTTAAAAAAAAATACTAAATAACAAAAAATTAAGCATTACATCTTGAAATTATGCTAGTCAAAATGTATTGTAGATTGTCTCCTTTTTAACTATGCACAATTATATGATCATCTGCATTATATTACTCACATGCATAACTCAGTACTCAAGACCCACCCATTGAGAACCACTGATTCAAACCCTCCCGTGCAAAGCAAATCACATCAGTGGATATTTTAACTGCCATGCCAAATGCTAGTGGAATCTACCTGACAGATCTGATCCAGTACAAACAAATGGATTGCGTGCATTAAAAGGATTTTCATGTCTGCTTCAATTACCGTAGCTTCAGCTCCATCCGCTCACACTCACTACATGTTAACACTCAATAATCAATTAATGACACTCAGGCAAGAAGTCTAAGCAACTAAAGACACCTCCAGACCTCAAGCAACCAAGCCTAGGCTGAAATGGAATCCATTTCAAAACACAGCCGCCAGTGCACCTATGCAGCAACAAAGTAACTGCATGCATACAGGTTGCTACACACCATCCCATGTTCATATTCATTAGCTAAGAGATCATTATGTAGGAATGTGCAGACTGGCCTTATACAGGTCCTAATTACACCCCACTGTGACTAAGAATAGAGTTTGACCTATACATGAATAAATCGACCCCCTGGATGCAAATTTATCTGTTTACCTGTGTTATGTTGAAAGAGCAAGTGGCTTCTGGTTGAAGATGAAAAGATGAAAACGTGCAAATTTACATCGAGTTTGAATTCAACTTCAGTTAGTTATTTGATCTGAGCACAAATGGCGGGGTAATACTAATTATAAGGCAATATTGAAAATAGCAGGGTTATTAGATGTTAGTGCATAAAAGTTTGGGGCTAGTAATTTTTTTAAGCAATTAATCATTTTATTCAGCAAGCATGCATCAAATTGAAAAAAGTTATAAATGTTGTTCTTTCAAAATGTATGCATCAAAGTTGTGATTTCCACAAACATATTAAATAGCAAAAACAGTTTTCAACATTGATCATAATAAGATATGTTTCTTGAGCAGCAAATCAGCATATTAGAATGATTTCTGAAGGATCATGTGACACTGAAGACTGGAGTAATGATGCTGAAAATTCAGCTTTGCATACGAGGAATTAATTACATTGTAAAATAAATTAAAATAGAAAACAGCTGTAAGAACAATGTAAAAACATAAATTGTAAGAATATTTCATAGTATTACTGTTTTTACTGTATTTCTGATCAAATAAATGTAGACTTGGGAAGCATAATAGACTTCTTGCAAAAACAATTAAAAAAACAATTATTTGGATCACTAAAATATAATATATACATATATATATAGACATACATACATATGAAACAAATCCATCATCAAGGCATTTTAACTTTAAACCATTGCCTTTGGCCAAAATACAAGTCCATATATATATATATATATATATTATTGCTTTTGTCGCTTGGTTTTAAACCATGAAGGCGAGACAATGGATATCACATAAGCAGCGTGCAAACTTTGCGCAAGATTTATGCTGGTGAACGTCTTAATCTCAGTCAGTTCACTATGCAGAAAGTGAAAGCAAAAACGGAATGATGGAGATTTCAGCATCTGACGCCGCTTATTCTCTCAGAGACAACGAGAGACATCTTCAACATATGCTGATAACGGTATATAGCTAACTGTTTTCATTTATTCCCTTAATATTTCTCTTGTGGCCCGTACATAGGCCTAGTGAGAAAAAAAAAATGAGAAGAAATGTATTTTGTGTTAAACGGGTTGTTTTTGAAAGTCGGTGCTTAATAGGGTAAAAAAATGTTTTACAGATTTTTATTGATGACTGCAGTGTTCATATTTCAATGATAGGCCTATAATTAATTGTATAATAGACCTGTTTTAAAAGACCTTTTTTAAAACATTTTAATTGAGGAGTAAATAGCCTTATCTTTTGTTATCCTCGCAGTGCGTCAGTTATGCGGTAATATTGCAGGGCAAATTAATTGTAATGTTAATTTAATAATAAACTTTAATAATAAAAGTAACTTCATAATAATAATAATAATAAGCCTAATAAAAATAAGAAAATTGGAAATGCCAAATCCTCTTAATATTCCCAATAACTGATGTTTTCGACGATACTCTGTCTATCGTCGATACAAGATCATCGTCTTTCGACGCACCCCAGCACAGTGCGTGCCCGTCCACTAGACAGCACATTGCCTGTTATGATGTTTGGGCTGTCTTGTTGAGCGCAGTGGCACTGAGAACATTATATTTCACACACTTTAAGCTCTTTTATTTTCCAAATGTAGTAGGATTAGTCCAACGAATCGTTCGGTTTGTAATGCGTACCAAACTGAAAGCCTCGTACCGAACGGTTCAATACGAATACGCAGTCACTAGGAATTCTGGGCCCTGTGCACTGAATTTGCTATGGGGCCCCCTATGGGGGGTGAATAAGAAGTTACCAATCAAAAGAAATCAATATTAACTAAATTAATTTGCGCTACAGAGGTGGCACAGAAGATCACAAAAGTGGCATGTAGGTATATTTACAGACGTTTAATGAGGCTTTGAGGTGACATGGATGTTTTAAATTTATAACAATGTTATGAGATTGTTTTAAATATAACATTTTGAAAAACAGATATTGATTGATTGATTGATTGATTGAAATTAAATAACTGAAATGATACTTTAAAAATGAAACTAAAACTGCCAGTAGGTGGCGGCAAGTCCCTGAGTTTATCACTGAATCATTCATTAAATTGATTCGTTTGAACGGCTGATTCATTCAGGAACTAATTAAGTGACTGTCTTTATGAATGGGTAGTTGACTCATTAACTCAGATTCGTTTAAAAAAAACACAGGTTCATAAACAAAACATCGCTGTGTTTACTTGAAGACGCGCAGTGGCTCAGCTGTGACTGTAAAACTATTTTCATTGACGAAATAGAGCAAAATCAGGCAATATTGTTATAGTCAGACAATGTAAGTCACTTAATATTAACTTTTTATTTATTGAACTGTTGTATTAAATTAATATCACATTTACAAGCTCCCTTAATAGTCTTTAAAATCTTTCACTCACCTTTCATTGCGATCTCACAAAGTTCCATTATAACCAAGGAAGCTCTCTACACTGCACAATGAATCTCTTATTTACATCGTGTCTTTGTTATAATGAGAGGATTTATGAGTTTGCATCAGGTGTTTTGAGTAGCGAGTGGATTCTGATTAATGTTGCGTTCAAGGAATCAATAGATATGTCTGCGGTACATTAGGCTACTCAACGCTGCAAAAACATGTTGTAGAAACCTATGAAGCTGTCTTGAGTGCAAACACAAATATGCTGATTGGGTCAGTCGCACTGGTGCTCCTAAATATTTTTCATATTCGCACGTAGTAGTTTTCAGTCACAAATGCGACTGAAATGGTCACATTGTAGAGCCCTGGGGGGATGGGTATGAGTCTCTAACAAGATATCCACTAATGGTAAATTTATGTTATTATAATATAATTATTATATAATTTTATTATTATAATAATTAAAAAAATCTTACTGGCCACAAACTTTTGAATGTAAGAGCATTTATATTTTACACTAAGCAGCAGCATTTGCATTTAAGTTTTACATTTTTCATTAGTTAATGCGTTCAGCAGGAATCAAACCCATGAACTCGGTGTTGCTGTCACCATGTTCTTAGCTACAAGAATCTCTTATATACAATATGATCTTCTTGCTACTATAAAATAGTCAAAATACTGTATAGCGACCTATACGTGCACATCAATTAAATTTTATATGAATGCAGCAGGTGTTGCACCATTCACTGAATTGCTAATTATCAGTGAGCTCACATGAATTGAATTCAATATTAATATGGCAAAGGTCAGACTGCTTATTATATTGATTTTGGATCGTTATGTTGCTCTGGAGGCATAAGCGGCCTATGCTGCGTGCCGTTCCCAACAACCCTTAATCAAGCTAAAATCAATGTAATATGGAGCCTTTCATGACTTTCTGCTTTATTAATCAATAGAATAAGGTAATCTGACTTTTTGAGATGAGATTCAAAGATTTAACGATTAAGATAAGAAAAAAATTAACCACAAAAAAGCTGTTTCTTATCTTTTCCTTACACATTATGAATGGTAAAAGTTCAGTTGAGTCTAATCTACATCACTGTCAAAACATAATGATCAGGTTCTGGACAGATCATCTAAGTTGAATGTTGTCCATGTCAAAACAAAGATAACAGCTCCCTTTGAACATCATGGATAATATAATTTTTTTTTTTTTACAATGTAAGGCCATCTGAGGTGTAGACAATATATTTCAAGAGAAATCGAAGAATGAACTGTTGTGACGTCATTTCGAACAAAATCAGTCAAAAGTTTTCATTTTTGGGTGAACTATCCCATTAAGGAAAAGTAACTACACCAGCTACTAACTGAAAAAATTACTTCAAAGTTTTTGACTTATTTAACCTCAGTCTTCATACTCCGTTTTCTTTGAAACGGGCAGATTTCACAGAGGGATTTATTGCCTGTGTAGGTATTCTCACACTGTGCCTCTGCTCATATGTCCAGCTGTCTATCAGGAGGCAGTTGTTACCTGTGGCGGTATGACCCCTCCGCAGATCACCATGATATCGGGTCGGTTGAGGTTACGCAGCTCTTTGATGAGTTCGGGCACGAGGGTCTTGTGTCCAGCTGCCAGTGTGCTGACACCCACGCAATGTACGTCTGCATCCACGGCCTGCTGGGCGACCTCCAGCGGGGTCTGTCGTCATGGAAACGGACACAAGCATTAAGGCTTGTTTACATCAAGAACAATAAATAAAATCATAACTATATCAGCCTCCACATCAACGCAAAATAGCATTCCGTATATTATAAGCAAACACTGCACTTTTGTCATCTGTCGCATTAAATGCATGAGCTGTTTAAAGCAGGATGGATTCTGATTGGCTGTCCATGTTTTTATTATTCACTGGCTGGAATAAAATCATTGTGAAAATGATTTCAGTGATATAGTTCCTCTGTGCTGTTATTGTTATAGTTGTGGTATGGACTCTTCTATTCTTTTAAACCTAGAACAATTTTTAAAATGATATTTTTATCATTGTCGTTAGGGGCCAAGCACCGAAGGTGCGAAGGCACCTATTGTATCCGTTGTCTTCCGTTTCTTCCGCTCTTGAGTCTATGGCAGCCCATAGAACCACTTGCAGGAAAGTTATGAAATTTGGCACACTGATAGAGGACAGTCTCAACAATAACCATAGCCAATTTGGAGTCTCTAACTCAAACTCTCTAGTGCCACCACTTGTCCAAAATTTCACTCATGTTTATGCTAATAACTTTTGAACCACAAGGCACAGAAGGAAAATTCTTTTTTCCTCTGAATCCTTGGCTCATGCCAAGTCGAATAAACTCCAAAATGTAAAAATCGTAGGGTTTAGTTTTTTCGCTATTTTCAAAACTTAAAAAAATCGACTTTTTCGAACTCGTCCTAGACGGTTTGTCTGATTTTCACCAAAATTGGCTCAGATCATCTTCTGACCATTTTGGCAAAAAGTTATGGAATTCAAGTTGATTTGCGCAAACGAATTCTACGAAAAGCATGCAAAAATGGATGTGAGGCTACTTGGTGTGTGTTATAACAAGCATGACCTGAGACTACCTGCAGTGTTTTGGCACAGTGCCACCTAGTGGTCAGGAGATACGAAAAATGGCTATTTTTGCTTATAACTTCTGATTGGTTTGGACAAAAATCACAAAACTGGTCTCTTTAGATTCGGTGCATCATGCATCATGCAGTCAAACCATACCCAATTTTCCCATGTCAGCCATTTTGGGCATTAGTCATTTTGAATTTTGTCATAAAATGCTGTATTCTACGAACGCATTGACGAATCATTACGAAACTCGGTATGCATCTTCGGCACCATGCCCTGATGGTACTCGAAAAGTTTGGGGGTATAAAAGTTATAATTAAATATACAAAAATGCTAATAACACTTGCTTACATTAGCCTATTGTAATGAGACTGATGTTGATAGATTCCTTGGATCATACCGAGAACACCGATACCAATTATGCCATAATTGGCCAAACTTCCTGTCCGCCATTTTGATTCATGTTGAAAACCTACTTTTTTGAACTCCTCCTAGACCGTTCGTCCGATTTTCACCAAATTTGACTCGGATCATCTTCAGACCAAGCTGGCAAAAAGTTAAGGATTTCGTGTCGATATACGAAACGGTTCTCGTTTAGCGCATCAACAAATTTGCTGGAAAGATGCCAAACTGCATCTGAGGCTGTATCTCTGCAAAGCTTTGACATATTTACACCAAACTTTGTATGTGCCATTGTCACCTCACACTGACCACACCACATCAATTTGGTAAAGAGTGATAAACCATTAATTAAATATTATGAAATTTCAAAAAATGCTAATAACTTTTGATTGCATTAGCCTATTGTAATGAAACTGATCTCAAAATATTCCTTAGGTCAGGCCGACAACAGACATACCAATTATGCCATAGTACGCTTAACTTCCTTTCCGCCATTTTGATATATGTTGAAAACCTACTTTTTCGAACTCCTCCTCGACCTTCGGTCCGATTTTCACCAAAATCAAATCAAATTATCTTCAGACTGTGGTGACAAAAAGTTATGGATTTCGTGTTGATAGACAAAACTGTTTTTGTATAGTAACGCAACAAATATGAGGCATGATGCCAGACTACATCTGAGGCCGTATCTCTGCAAAGCTTTCCAGCGCCACCGTTGGTCAAAAGTGATAAGCCATTTAATCATATTTCTAGAGGTTGTATTTATGATTTTTCAGCCATTTCAATTACAATAATCCTAAAATTGCTTAAATTACTCATTGTTGCAGTTGGTCTGATGCTCCATGCCATACTTAACTCTTCATTTTGCGTCTGGAGTGCTTGGCCCCTTAATTGCTGCTTGCAGCTATATTTATCATTGTAGTTCCCTTTCAGTCGGTCACTCTCGGGACTGTAGCAATGCCTGAATCGGATCCAGAAATAATGGCTACACTTTCCCGGGCCGCCGTAGGGGTAGGGCCCAAGTGGAGACTTCCACCGTGTCCCGAGCCACCGCGGCGGACCTCGCGCTACGAGCGACGAAGGTTACGGCGCGGTCTCTGGGTCGTGTGATGTCCACTATGGTGGTCCAGGAGTGCCATTTCTGGCTGTGACTGGCCGACATGTGCGAGACGGACAAGACATGATTCTTGAACGCCCCGTTGCCCAGGCCGGCCTTTTCGGCGACACGGTGGAGACCTTGCCCAGCCCTTCAGGGAACGAGGGTTACCATACGTAACCGAGACGTTATCGTCTTGGTGCAAATTAATATTTCTATTCAGCAAAAATGCATTAAATTGATCGAAAAGTGAAAGTAAAGTTCTTCTGAGCTTTCTATTTATCAAGAAATCCTAAAAAAAATTGCATCACAATTTCCACAAAAACATTAGGCAGCACAACTGTTTTCAAAACTGATAATAAGAAATGTCTCTTGAGCAGCAAATCAGTATATTAGAATGCTTTCTGAAGGATCATGTGACACTGACGACTGGAGTAATGATGCTGAAAATTAAGCTTTGCCATTACAGAAATAAATTACATTTTATAATATTTGGAAATAGAAAAGTGTTATTTTAAATTGGAATAATATTACTGTTTTTACTGTTTTGTGTTACTGTATGCAGCCTTTGTTAGCATAAGAAACTTCTTTCAAACACATTAAAAAAATCTTACCCCAGCATTTTAAATAGTAGCGTATATAAACCCTCACACTGTGTTTGAGGTCCGAGGGACACTTTTTTTCACTTTATACCTAATAATCTAATGCAGAAACAGTTTTGTTCAGGATGGTACTGAGTATTCATGGAGCACAAATGAGAGATTTTGACTTATTCTGAAAACTGTAGAGAAGTGGGAGCTTAACTCTGAGGTATGCATTTGATCTGCTCAGTCATGGATTCAATGTTTTGATGTTCATGGCTCAGAAAGGATCTCTTAATTGATGATAGACTCTGCCCTTAAAGGAACACTGGGTGCTAAAATGTGTGAGATAAATACACATGTTGACAAGTTGAGCTCAATGAGCTGATTTCTTGAGCATCTTTAACACAAGGATGACTTTCGGAGGAAAATATATTTTTAAACACATATACAGAGAAAAACTCTTTTAAATAGAAGATCTAAATGCAGCATCACAGTTACAGCATCTCTCTTACCTGAAAAAGCGGGCCGACGTCCACATCAAACCCAAGGTCTGCAAATCCAGTGGCGATGACCTTTGCCCCTCTATCATGACCGTCCTGTCCCATTTTGGCCACGAGCAGACGGGGATTTCTGCCTTCATGCTTTTTGAACTGTATGACTCTGAGAAACAAGAACACACAGCATCATGGCATCAAATTACTGATGAAGTTTCAAACACTTTCATGGGTTTATAACTATATGATGGTAAATTATTTTTTGGGTGAGCTATTCCTGTAAAGGACAAAACTGTGGTTGGTTACATCATATACTTTCCTAAAAGAGTTACTTTTTATCCAGTGACTGAAATAAAGACGTTTTTGGTAACTGAATTAAAGTTGAAATAAAACATAAATCTAAGATGAAAAACACTAAATAATCTTCAGATCTTCAGGCTGTAAGATCTGGATCTTTTGTAGGTTTAGTTTTAAATATTTATGGTGTAATGTTTGATTTTTACGGTCTCACTCTCTTATCAGTTTTGTCAAACTAAGGTCACATTGGGGCGGAGAGACATGCTTTAATCAGACTGCACAAAATCCTTAAGACACACAAAGACAGAAATACAGTGGAATCTCTGAGCTTTTCTCCGTCTAAGCTATCTTTATTTATCATCAATTCAGCAGCTAAAGCTAAATCCAGTTACATTTAGTGCTTTTTGACAATAACAATAATGATGCCGTAAGGGTCAAAAGGATGTTATCAGGCCGAGCCATGGGTTCGGCTCTAGTGCAATAAAAGATTAAATGTCTGCGAAATGATATCGCATGCGATTTATCGTGCAGCCCTAATATATATATATATACGTATATACACACACACACACACACACACATAATATCAATTAAAAGTTTTCTGTAAACTTTAGTTTTTAGTCAGTTTTATTGTTGTATTTTTGTGTTTTTATTATTATATTACTAAAATATCATTTAAACTGCATATATATGTACATACATACATACATACATACATACAGTGCTGCTTGAAAGTTTGTGAACCCTTTAGAATTTTCTATATTTCTGCATAAATATGACCCA